TCAAGCTGGAGATTTCTTGAGTTTACATTGCCCATCATTGCGATTTTTATCTCAAGCATAACCAAGCAGCTGTTTTCACAGAGGATTATTGTTCTGCGCCTTTGCCTGCGGGGAAATTCAGGCTTTCAAGCTGCATACACACAGCCAGTAGGGCAACTAGAACATCAGAAAGTGACAGACAAATTACCCTGGAGGGAGGGAGGAACATTCAGAAGAGTGTTTAAAAAATCATTTTCCCTCCACTGATACTGTGCTGTGCCATCCATTACCAATTTTTTATGTGTCAACTCCAAATTAGATCTGTTTGTTTACCTACACTGAGTAGACTCACACCCAGACTCACTGTGTAGATATAGCAGCCGCTCCCATAGTTGATCCTCCTCAAGGTGTTTAACAAAAATTAATTAATGCTACATACAACTCGCCATATGTTCAGTATAACATGCAACAGCCCACAGAGAATTGGATAAAAACTTTAAAACAAAGCAATGGTCTTATCCTAATACTTTCTGTTTGATAAAGCTCCTGAGAGAATTAGTCAAGAGTCAACTACAAAGTAGAGATTTGAATACCTGCTTAGGAGGAGAGATTAGTATTATCCTATTGCAGGTCTTTATATCTTAGTTTGGATCTGTAATAAAAATCTGAGCCTTTATCTCTTTCCCAATTTTTTTTCCTGCAGCATTTTGATACTGCATATCAGAATCCATAGGTAGGAATAGAGAGGCAAAGGTGGGAACAACGGGGAGTGACTCCCTTCCCTGTGTCACCTGCAGTCTCTTCTATCTTCAGGGCCCATCCAGGATGAGCAGCAATGTGTCTTTCACTAGTTCACCTAATACCTGGAGAGTTGCAGGAATATTCTGGATTTGGCTCTGGGTTAGAGTGGGGCCTTGCTGTGTCAGAATGCTCTCCTAAAGCACAATGTTCCATGTCTCCAGCTTTCTCCTTTTGTTCAGTGACTCCTTCCTATCTGGGCCACAGCTGATTCTACCCAGGGCTAGTGTCTTACAAAGTGCACGCTGGCCACAAGTGAAGTGCCTTGGAGAAGGCTTGGTGGCACTCGGCCCATAGAGGTTATTTTTCATCCTGACAAACCAACCCACTCAGACATCTCTCCCAGTTCACATGAAGGCTGGAATGTGGGCCCCAAAACTCAGGCTTTCTTCTTACCTGCCCTGCCTCTTGGGAAACCCAGAGGGGCTGTGTCTAACAAAGAAAAGACACCCTGTTGTGTCACTTTTCCATGTGTCCTGGAAGTAAGGTTCTTAACCAAATGAGGTCTAGGTAAGTCCTTTCTTGGCAGCCATAGGTAAACCATCTCAGAGAAAATGATTCCAGTCACTTACACGGGAGTCCCAGGGGTACAAAGAGAGAAGTGTGACACATAAATAACATCACTGGTTCATAAGAGACTTTGGCCTTCGACCTCGATTGTTACATCATTCTTTCCACATTTTATTTGCTTCCTGCATTGCTGGGCTATGATTAAAAAAAAGGTACTGAATATTCACCACCCCAAAGACTACTGTAGAAAGTAGGTGAAAACTGTCAGAACAGATAAAGCAGGGGTTATTGCTTTCTTTAAGGTCTGTTGCCTCATTTTCCTTAGGGCTCCTGCTGTGGACAGTAGGGAGAAGTCAGGCATGTGTTAATTTGCATGATTGTATTAACTAACTGTCAGCCACTCCATCCCCCAGTATAACCTCAATTAATTCAACAGGAGCAGGTGGCTTAATTTGTACATTATTCACATTTGCTAGTAAACAAGCAATTTGGATTTTTAGCTAGAATTCCCTCTCAGGAACAGAGGCCAAAGATGTTTGCTCAGAATTTGGCCAAGGGAAATTCCTATTGTGAATTCCTCTCATTCTACACACCAACCCCAAAACACCCTTCCTTCCAGCTTTTCATACTGAACAACTCTGCATGGGATTCATCCCAAGCACTACCTCACTCTTGCTGCTCAGGGTCAGTCCTGAGAATGGGGGCAGAAACCCCTTCTGGGCCTCCGGGTTCCTGTTCACCATTTCCTGGCTGTAGGGCCTGGCTCTGCCTCCCTCATAAGTTACTGGGTTTCTGCTGAGCAGCACTCAGAGGCCTGGAGATCCAATTTTGACAGGAGTTTCTGTCTGTGTCCTATTTGTCTTGGATTCTTTCTGGCTGCCTATTCAGTTCATCATTCCCTGCCTGAACTAGGTGGCTCTGCTCTGACTGTGCCACTTCTCTTTCAAGACTGAAATCCCACCATGAATTCAATCCCGGAGCTCAGTTCTAGCTACCAGGTGACCCTAAAAGTGGCAGCCTGCCCACCCAGTCCTGGGGTCCTCACCACAGCACTCTGCTCATTTCCCAGTGCAATAATTGTGTTGGGCATATTGCTTAGGGACTCTTTCTTTGTCTCAATAATTTCACAGAAGTTAACTATTCATCTTCACACAATTGGATAGCTAGAGAAATAGGCTCAGAAGAGTTAAGTGTCTTGCCCAGAGTCACTCTACAAAGAGGGCAGAGCTGGACTTTGAGCCCAGGTCTATATAGATGCACATTCACAACGTGTTTGTGTTAGTCTACCTCCCAAATCTGTCTGATCATCATCCAATTCAAAGGCACTTCTTGACCTCTGTTCAGTCCAGGAAATCTAGCTCAGCAGGCTAGGCTAGAATAGATGTTAAGGGGCAGGGTTTGGCCCTGGGAAACTCCCAAATATAGCTGTAATTTTGAAGACCACAAAGCTGACTGCTAAATCCAGAAACAGAAAGAGACGTGGGTGGCAAAGCCAGAAAAGCATGTTGATTAGACAAAATATTTGAGATGTTCCTTACCTTATGTGTATAAAAAATCCACTGAGATATGTAGTTATATTCTTAGGGATGGCACCAGGTCAAATGGTTCATGGTTGTTACTGAGTTGGAAGATTTAGCTGCCTGATGCAACTAGAAAAGCAATAGCATCCTTGGTATCATTTGGACCTTGAGTGTTTCCCAGAGGCCCATGTATTAAAGGCTGAGTTGATCACTCCCTGCCTAAACTAGGTGCTATTGGGAAGAGATGCAATCTTTAAGAGATGGGGTCTGTTGAGAGGTCTTGGGAACACTGGGGTTTTTCCTTGAAGAAGATTGAGGGAAGCTCAAGTTTTTATTTCCTAGACACAACAAGATGAACAGTTTCCTCCACCCCACTCACCTGTTATGAGGCACTGCCTTTCCACAGGCCCAGAAGCAGCAGGGCCAACTTACCATGGACTGAAGCCTTTGAAGCCATGACCCAAAATAAATCTTTCTTCTTTTTTATGGTGATCTTCTCCATTGTTTAGTTATAACAGAAAGCTGATGAGTACAGTCCTGCTTCCTGGTTATTGTCCCATCTATCACAATGAACTATCATCAAAGATAATGGTTAAAGCACTTCAGCAGACAACTTTTGAGACTTCATTTCAGAAAAGGTTGTAGGATCTGTTTCATACATAGTTGAGAAGAAAAGTGGCAAGGTTGTGCATATCACAAACCTTGCCCACACTGAGTGACTTCTCTGCCCTTCCCTTTGGTAGTACCTCAGTCTTGGCCCCGATCCATAACCCCTTAAATTTAGAGACACACATGACACAAATGGGACCATCTCATCCTGTGAGGCTGCTGGAACTGCTCTGCCTTCTCTAAAAGGAAAGGAAGACTCTATCTACAATACTTTCAGCCCTGCTCTTCTTTCCAGCTCTAGGAACCTAGCATTTATCCCTAGATACCAAGGAAAAGCCAATGACAGGAAAAAAGGAAAGGGGCTATTAAGAGTTAAATAATTGTGTCTCTCCCAGACTTGTAGGTTGAGTCCTTGACCCCAGTGGGATGGTATTTGGGGATGGGCAGGGCCCTGGTCTGTAAAGTTGAGTGCCCTGAAGAGACACCACATGCTGAAACACATGCTCTCTCCCACCTGCCTGTCTTCCTTTGTGAGGACACAGTAGGGAGGTCGATGTCTGCAAATCAGGAAAAGGGTCTTCATCAGGAACTGAATCTGCTGTCACTTTGATCTTGGACTTTCCAGCCTCTTAAATTGTGAAAAAGAAATGAATTCCTGGTCCTTAAGTCACCCAGTCTATAATATTTTGTATTGGCAGCACAAGTAGACTAACATGGAAGCAGCAGGAAGGAAGAAAAACCCATGGTCAGAACTCGGCAATGTGTCCAGGCTACTCACTGGAAGGCAGAGTTTTGAGATTTCTTCTCTTCATGAAATGCTTCTTCAGGGATATGCCATCTTTATAGGCAGAAAACCCAGCTACCTTTATGAGATGATCTGTGGGCCCTAAGAATAGAATTTGGGTAGAATTCGATCTACCACGCATGTTCCCCACTACAGTGCCAGGACTATCTCCCTTCCTATCTGGCTGGGAACTCTGTCCACTGAACTTGCTAACAAGTGGGGAAAAAGAAAAGCCCCTGAGATGTGTAACCTTCTCATCACCAGGATTCTTCTTGTGTTTTTCCTGGGCTGTAAGGACTTTCCTTTGGAGTAGTTCAATTGACATAGGAGCTGGCTGACTGGCATCTTGACAGGGTCACCAGATCCTCAGATCTTAGGATTGAGGAGCTCAATTTTGTGAGTTCATTGAAGTTCTGGATGATTGGTTCAGACTAATCAAACTTATGAGATGCTGGCAGCTGCTAAGTAAATTTTTTCCTAAAATGGAAAGTATTTTTGAAAAACCAAATTACTGACTCCAGGCAAGGTCATAGAGCAGGGCATGGAAAGATTTTTAATGGCTGGTGTCATCGAACTATAACAGTCCTTTGCCTAGATGAGTGGCAGCTACCAAACAGGCTAGATGACTCCTGGAGCAGGTCAGAGCACCTATCCCTCTGGAGAGGGCAAGATACGAGTGGTAACTTGTCAATGCTTCCTTCAGCTTCATTTTTATTTTTACCAAACCGAACAGCTATTCATTTCTCTCATTAATGTGATACAGTTTCCATGATTACTATTCACTTAGATTTTTTGTAACAGGGGAGAACATGAACATAGTCTCCCACTACCACAAACTATGTGAGTTTCCTACGTTTGGGGAAATCACAGGGGTCAGCACGCCCCAAGTGCAAGGAATAAGACAAGCCTCATCCTGGGAAAACCACCTTGGTGATCCTGGTATTTGCCCTGCCAGGTAAGTATTTTAGGTTAGATTAAATGCACTCAGATTGGGTTTCTGTGGGCAGTGTGGTGACACTATCTCAGCTCATCTGTAGTGCACATCTGGTCATCTCTGCAGTAGATGGCTAATCTCATCTAGGGGATGCTAGGTCTTGGGGCTTCAATGTCAGATGGTGGCGTTTCCCAACTTTGTCCCCATTACACACTTGTTAGGCCTCAAGGCTGAAACAAAGGGAAACAAATAAGCAATTGAAAGAAAATAGTGAATGGAGAACTTCTTTTTTTGGCTTGAAATAAATTGATCCACTTTTCTCTCATTCCAGCTTGGAACTGGGTACGAAGGTTCCTCATGGGTGAGGGTTGGATCTTAATGCTGACAGACCCTGCCAAGAGATCGCTGGGGTGGCCATTTTTCACCCTGGCAGCCATTTTCTACTGGATAGCCATTTTGCACCTGGGCGGAGAGGAGACTGAAGCAGACACACAGACATAAAAAACCAAGAGCCTCTGACTATTTCTTACAGAGAAATGACTGTCTTCTCAATGCAGCCATATGTATAGTCACCAAGAGAGGAAACAAGAATGTAATTCATTTGGAGAGCACCCCTACTCTGGATTCAGGGCCATGTGATACCCACCTGTGCTTGCTTCACGGAGACTATGAAATTACCTACCTCTATCCACTTGAGTTCTCTCTACTCTGAGACTACTTGTGGTTAAAGGATCTTCGTCGGAAGGCCACAGAATTCTATAGAAAGTCTGTCCTGTTAGTGGATCAGACAGGCATCAAATAGGTTAGCAGGTACCTCAACTAGGCATAAGCTAGAGGGAGATCTATAAGAAAGTAAGCAAAGGACCAGCTAGGAATGAGAAGAATGATCTCAAGGGAGAGCCTTGGGGGCAGGAGCATGTGAAGCTCAGAAACTGCACTCAGTTGAACTTTTCATACTTTACAACATACCTGGACACCAGTCAGGGGTCCAGCAAATGACCATCATTAAGAGAACTGATTAGACATGATATCATTGCTACATATTTTCCTCTGAATAACTAGTATGAAGACAATATACAATGTATTAAGTATTGTAACTAAGTATTGTCCTACTAACCTGTTTTGAAACTGTTTCCTTCCTATTTTATCTTTTTTTCTCATTAAAATGAATAAAATATACATTAAAAATGGGAGAACTGAAAGTGCTACCACTTAATCACCAGTTATCACCACAGCCTGACGATCCTAGAAAAGAGAGCATTTTGGAGTCTAAATTCTCTATAGTGGACATCAACACTAATTATACTCCCAGGGTATTTGATCAGCCCTCCACCAGGTCTGTTCAGCTTCCTTAAAAAGACCCTAAAGCTCCATGATTTTGCCACTGCCTTATTGAGTGAAAGCCAGAGCAATTTCTTCTTCACTCCAGTCATCTTTTCCAGTAAATGCTATTCTCTGAAAGTTTAAACAGGTTGAGAGATTTTTGCCTTACCATACCTTGGAGAAAGACACAATATTTGTTATTCTCAGATCTTAATGCCTGCTCACAGTGATTTTAATGCTGCTTTTTAAAACTACTAAGGTAGTTTAATAATACAGCACTCTTCCTGCTATTGTTGAAACATTACATTATTCAATGTATCCGATTGCGGTACATTTTGCTCTCTGCTCGCGGTGCATTATTACTGTGTGCTCTTTGCAGCAGTATAATTGGGGGAGCAATTTGCTAGCAAACCACTGAAGATGGTTGCATTGCAAATGTGAGGTGATATGGGGCTCTGCTCATGAAACCCTGTTGCAGAACACAGAGCCTTTCCTGGGTGTAGACACTGCTTCAGTCCAGGGACCCCAGGGCACTCGTGCCTCCCACTTTGCCCACCTCAGCCAGCCCCCACTTAGGAGTCTGATTTACAAATCCAATTTATGGTACCCAAGATGATTTGCTATGTCTGGGGTCGTGGGGGGACTGAGGGGATAGTATTCTTCTTGAAGCTTCTTTGTGTTTGGAGTTGCATATCACCTTGGCTAGGTCAAATTCATCTCTTCATTCAAGTGGATTTGATTCTCTGAAACAGAACTCATACACCAGTGATCAAAAGATCACCTCTGACTCACAACTATGGGGCCTTTAAATTTTTAGTTTAAAAACTTTTTCAAGCTGAACACAGTGGCACAGACCCATAATCCTAGGACTCTGAGAGGCTGAGGCAGGAGGATCAAAATTTTGAGCCAAACCTTGGCAATTTAGGGATTTAGCAAGATCCTGTCTCAAAAACTTTATTAATTAATTAAAAATTAAGAAAAAGAGCTGGGGATGTAGCTCAGTGCAAACACCCTGAGCTTAATCCCCAGTAGTAAAAAGAAAAATTGAAACATTAACTTTAATAGATTTCACTTTTTTAGAACAATTTTAGGTTCAGAGCAAAATTCAGCTGTAGACACAATGATTTCTCACATACCTCTCCTCCCTGACACACACGTGCACGCACACACACATACAGAGCTTCTGCCATTGTCAACACTTCGGTCAAAGTGGCACATTTGCCCCAGTCAAGATGCCCATGATGACACTCATAGTAGCCAAGGTCTACGGTTGACACAGGAAGCCACTCTTAACTGTGGACATTCTATTAAGCAAATATACAATAAGATGTATCCACAGTCATATCATACAGAGAGTTTTACCACCTGCCCAGTATCCTTAAATATTGTCTTTAAATTTTGGAAATCAAATCATTTCTTAAATGATTGTTCAAATTCATTTATTTATTTATTTTTCTGTATTTTAGGGAAGGGTCTACAGAGTGTTCAGGGTCTTACTACTAGATCAGACTGTAGTGATTCTCCTGTTTACAGCCTCCCAAGAGCTGGGATTATAGGTGTGCATCACCACACCCAGTCTCAGTAGCCATCTCAGCGTGCCCTGGGGCTGGGGCCAGCACAGCAGGCCCGAGAATTGAACCCGTGGCCCCTGCGCATGCTTGCAGGTGCTTTAATCTGCTGAGCTACTTGGCCGGCCCTGATTGTCCAACTTTAAAATTTAGAATTTCACATGAAAAGTGGGACTTCTGGATCATCTTGACCATTCTACTATGCTAAGATGAAGAGGTAGAATGAAGAGGTGAGCTTTAGGGGGCTGGTATGATGACCAGGAGGACCCTGAGAGGCTCCTAGAGGCTGGCTGGTAGGCAGTGGGGTCTCTGGAGAGCCCAGAAGATGTACACTCCCTAAGGCAGGTGGGATTAAGTTTCAACATAGGAATTTTGAGAAGAAACAATATTCACATGACAGCAGATCAGATTTTACCCCAGTGAAACCTTGACTTAGCCCTGGAGGGGAGTCTTGAGCAGAGGATGCAGCTGGCCTACCCGGGGCTCCTGACCCACAAAGCTGTATCTATGTTGCTGTAAACCACTAACTTTCTGTCAAGTGGTTAGTAGCAGCAGCTACGGTTGGGACCTGTGTGAGGCCTCTAAGCCCATGTACCCACACGTAGAACCTTTGGAAGGTGACTGGCTTATGTGGCTGGCATAGCTGGATTGGTATTAGGAGACAGGGTCTGCTTGGAAGAGGCAGTTGAGGGTGTGGCCTGAAGAGGCTTGTCCCCCTCCCTTGGTACTTGCTTACTGTGCACTTCCTGTCCACCATACCATAAGCAGCTCTCTTCCACCATACCCCTCTGCCATGCCATCCCACTGTGGAGACAGCCATCTATGGACTACAATGGGAAGCCAAGGCAAACCTGTCCTCCTCTAAGTCTTGAGGGTCTGGCGTTGTGTCTCAGGAGTAGGGAAAGTGACTGAGTCAGAACCTATAGTCCTATCTTTAGCCCATCTGGAAGCATGTGAACTCTTCACTTATGACCAGGAAGCACATGGAAGAGAATGCTTTATGCTATGGTTTAAATGTTTGTGCTTCCTCTCAAAATTCACATACTGGAATTCTAACCCACAAGGTGGTTGTATTAGAAGGTAGAGACACTGGGTCATGAGGGTGACACTCAAGCGTAGCATTAGTGCCCTTATACAAGGAGCCCATGGAGCTTGTGCACAGCATCCACCACGTAGGGACGCAGTGGTCTGGCACCATCTGTGAACCAGGAAGTGGACCCCGCCCAACACCAAATCTGCTGGTATCATCTTCTTGGACTTCTGAGCCTGAATTGCTGAGAAATAAATTCCTGTTGTGCCTAAGTTACCGGTTGACGACATTTTGTTACATTGTCCTTTGTCACTTAAGACACCCTACTGCCTCCAAAAGAAGGGGAAGGACAAAGTTGCAAGTCAAGTGTCTCAAAAATAGTTGGGGAGCAAGTAGCTTGACCTTTGAGACCCAAAATAACTGCTGTAAAATACCTGTTAAAGGGGCCAGGAAGATAGCTGAGCAGCATAAGCCCCTGTCGGGCAAGTGTAAGGTCCTGACTTTGATCCCCAGTACCCCCCACCAAAAAAAAAAGCTTATTGGAAATCACTCACTCTAGGCCCTGTGCATATATTTTCAATAGGAAGACAGAGGCCCAGAGAAGTTTAAAAAACCCATGCAAAGGTCCCACCCTGATGGATCACACTTTCCCATCATTCTTCTTTGTCTTGTACGTGACTGACTTATAGAAAAACCTTTGAATCAGGCAGCAAATGATCATGAGGAGGTTGGAGGAGGTCAGCTGGAGGTCAACCCTTGCTTCAGGAAGCATTATGTAACCCACTAACAATGCACAGGGACAAATGGTTATCAATTTAACAATTACCTATATCCTAGGCATCACTGGAGCAGCTGAGAAAGCAGGAAGTAGGGTGTATGGCCACTGCCTTCATGAGTTTTTCACCTCAGTGAGAACACACACCACTTTCGGGTAAACTGTGCAGGATCCCATAGCAATGTGGGACAGCAGCCCCTGTGAGACATGTTTCCTTCTCACTACTTTGCAAAAACCTGGGACCCTTCAGTTCTCCCAGCCCAAATTCCCTCAACTCATCCAGGAGCCTCAAACTCCTGATTACAAGAGCTTTGGCCCAGCTGCATGGTTTTT